CAAGGTCAAACAATATCTATACAATATACAATAGACTAGACCATCCTGGTCTTCATACCTTCGATTAATAAGATAATACTGATTCACTATTAATTCAGGCTTATCGTCAGCAATTTGTGCATATTTGTTCCCTTATATTACTTTCGAGATCTACTGATACTAAGATTTTCTGCTATATATTTTTCTTAAATCTATATTTCTTATAAAATATTGTCTCTGTAAGCATATTTATCGGGAGTGGAGTCTATGAGCTATTTATTAACGTAGTTTTAATTTCTTATATTACCTCAGTTTGTCTTAACCTTACCTGAAACTATTTTCGTTGGCATATTTTTCTTTTTTCATCCCATCAACTGTGTGATTAATGCGGAATTATTATTATTCACTTTCTGTTTACCTCCAACTTCTACAAAGTTTGCTACTTCCCTTATCAGACTACTTTATTTTGCTTTAGTTTCATTTTATAACTGCTGAGCAATCTAGTCTATTTGATTATAAGCATCAAAGAAATTGTACTGCTTTGTCTCTAGGTCTTGGATCGACGGTGCCTGAGCTAGGTGACCTCTCTGGAATGCCGGTTATTGCTAAGACGCGATTCAGCATGATCACTCCGGAGCTAGAAAAAGTCATTCCAATAGATACCAAGTCCATCCTCCTTTGTGGCATCGAAACTCATGTGTGTATACAGCAGACAGCTTTGGACTTTGCTGAAAAAGGATTAGATGTTCACATTATTGCAGATGCATGCTCTTCCAGGAATATGGTTGACAGGTATTATTATTAAACATTTTCCGAATGATTTCCTACATTTTTATTTAATATTCTTGACCTAGTTTCACTATTTTAGATAGGTTTTTGTTCTGGATTAAAGGCGATTCTTCCCAGTAAGTTTTGCATAAGACTTACTTTGCACTGAAATTTAACTCTAAACTGATCTCACTGGGGCCGGACTGCATTTTCGCCCTTAATTAATCATTTCATCAGCTCACTTAGCTTGATCCTAATCGTTAATATGCACTGTTGGGGCATACATTAACTTTTGCTGAAATACCCAATAAACATGGCTTACGAGCTTAGAAAATCTTTTTAA